CCCCCCCCCCCCCCCCCCCCCTGGTAGGAACCCGGAGATTGGGCTTGCAAGGAAAACTTGTGTTTGTGTTTCAGCCCTGCGCTCGAAAGCCGGAAAATGAGGGTTGTGGATTTTCCGGTTTCAGGGTGCTAGATTCTAGGGTGGAATCTAGGGTTTTAGTAGGGTTTGCTTTAGGTTCGTTTTAGGCTTTAGAGTTGAGGGTTGCAGGGTAGGGTTTGGGTGTTTCGTGTCCAGGTTCCCGGGTTATTGGGTTGTCGCCTTTATGTCAAACCGTTACCCGAAACTCTCCCGGCCCTAAGCTGCGAGTTTTCAAGGCAGAAAGGTCGGGACAGCCATATGTCGTGATCGTGACGTGACCGTACGCATACGCAAACTGATGGGAGAAATTAATGGAGCGACTTGCGCCATTGCGCCGACACCGCAATACTTAAATTGTGGTTGTAGCCGAGTCGTTGACAGTAGTCTACTTCGCTTGTCCCTGGCATCCTCGTAAGAGGCCTAAATAATTGGAAGTCCCTGCAGAGTTCCGTGTTAATCTACTTGCAGCCGCAACACCAGTCCTGTTTTAGACCTCATGTCCAGATTCCTTTGTAAGGCCCTCGGCATTAAGCGCCCGGTGCATGGGGGTACGAGCGACGTGGATGAAGAGGCGGGCTGGAGTGGTAGCACTTTCGCTGAAATCATACTTTCGTGCTGGTAGTCGGATTCCTAACTGGCTTGGAGTTAAGAGCTAATAATCGTATCCTGTATCTTGTGATTTTAGAAGCACATAGCAAGAGGATAGAAAAGTAGGTACATTCAGGCATATGCTTGTGCTCTAACTCTAACTATATGTGCATCCAGAGCAGTCTTGCATAAGGTGTTGGGACAAGATCTTGTGTTATAAGTCGCAGTACAGCTGCAGCTATAGTCTCCGTTGTAGCTTTTTTGGATTCTGTATCATAACTGCAGTTAGCCCAAGAAAGACAACTACAATGGAGACCCTAGGTATTGTACCTGCTGATTCATCTTTGTTTGCCAAGGCAGAGGGTTTAAGATTTTACGGTGGCGCCTTTCACGGATGAGGAAATTAAATTTGAGATGTGTCAAAATGGTGTCTAAATAGGGTTGCTATGGGAAGGTCTAATGGTGACAAGACAGCGCATGGCCATGTATGTCAGTGTAGCATACTGACTCCACTGGCTCTAAACTATTAGACTGTGGCATATTGTAGTGTGTTGTAGTTGTGGTATATTATAACATACTGTTCCTGCGCGGCTAGTGTATTTTCCATATTTTGCGATATGGTGGTATAATGTCAAGTATTGAAGTTCATCATTGCATAGCATGTTGTTGTATATTGTACAGTAGTATCTTAGTATCGAGTGTATTTTCGAACTATATCACTGTATATTGTCGTGAATTTTCTTGCGCAGGCAAGACATGTATAGCCTGTACCGTTGAAGACTTTCTGTTCCTCATTATGAGACGATACTATACCAAAAAATCCTACTCTCTTTATTGAGGCCCCTAGATCAGTGAGCTGTTGCAAACAGATTGGTTGTCCCCAATCACTTACATTCGAAACGAAGCTCCCCCTGCCTTCACCCATCTCCCTCAAACCCTGAACGAACCACAAACACCTAAAGTTTTTTAGAGAAGCCTCAAACCCTGAAACTCAAGTCCTAAATCCGAGCCCAAGCCCCAAACGCCCTGCAGGACATCGAAGTCCACGCTTTGATGCAGGATCTCGTGGAGGGGTCGGGGGATCCCAGAATCACAGCACATGAAACATCCTGCAGGAGGTCTTGAAATCTGTAGATTAGGCTATGGTTTTAGGCTCTATAGGTTCAAGCACGACACTGTCTAATTCAACACAGAAATATACACCTGTTCATGATAGTTTATGATTCAGGATTATCGATTTCTTCATCGGTCGATCTATCGATCTCAAAATCTATCTATGTATCTATCCATCCATCCATCCATCCATCCATCCATCCATCCATCCATCCATCCATCCATCCATCCATCCATCCATCCATCCATCCACTTATCTACTGTATCTGTGTATCTACCTATCTATCGATGTATCTATCTATCTATCTATCTATCTATCTATGTATCTATCTATCTATCTAGCTGTCTATCTATTTGTCTATCTGCACCTACACGGACGTACTATGCATAACAGACATAATATGTATGTATATAAATATATGAAATAATGTATGTATACAAGTGTTTTATGGTTTGTGTACATGACGTGCATTCTCTACAAGTACGCAGAATAGTTATACATCGTGTACATAACGTGTTCCATGTTCATAATGTACATAATTAATGTGCAGAAATATGTATCATACATAACGTGCGTATCACACATTACATGCATGTCCAGAGCATACCTACACACCTACATCGACACATACACACTAACAGGACATATAGACAGACGCTCATACGTACATACATACAGACATGCATATACATGCATGCTCCGAGCAAGCAAGGTAACTGCCAACCAAGCGCGCTCACACACCGTTAAGCAAGCAAGCAAGCAGGCAGGAAGGCAGGCAGGCAGGCAGGCAGGCAAGCAGGCAAGCAGACAAACACTCAAGTAAACGAACAAACAAACAACCAAGCAAGCAAACAAGCATACAAACACACAATAAACACACGAGCAAGCAATAGCAACCAACCAGCCGAGCAAACAGACAGACAAACAAACGAGCAACCACACAAACAAACAAGTAATCAGTCAGAAGCAATCTAAGAAACAAACAACCAAAGCAAACAAGCACGCAAGCAAGCAAGCACGCACGCAGGCAAGCAAGCAAGCAAGCAAGCAAGCAAGCAAGCAAGCAAGCAAGCAAGCAAGCAAGCAAGCAAGCAAACACAAGAACAGGCAACCAAACAAACAAACAAGCAAACAAACAAACACGGGGCAAACACAACAAATAAATAAAGAAACGAGCAAGCAAAAAACAAACAAGCAAGAACATACTCAAATAATTCAACAATCAAGCAAACAATCAACCAATCAATCAAAAAACCGAGCGAACACAAGCACTCAAACGCAGAAACACACGAACACACAACCAACCAACCAACCAACCAGCCAACCAGCCAGCCCGCCAGCCAGCCTGGTAGCCAGCCATGCGAAAGTACACTGGTACAGAATGCGCACCAAACTACCCTGAAGTAGATCCGTGCACAAGCTCACACAACTGACACACCAAAGTAAACCCTGAAGTTCCACTGCGCCTTTCTCGCTTTTTAAAGTGTCTCGAGCCACATAAGTGGCGATGTCCAAAGTCTGGGGAGAAAGGGGACGTGATATTTCAACACACCTCCGCGAGACTAAGGTTAGTTATTTTATGTATTCTCGCGAAGTATACACGTCTATATAAGGCTCATGCAGAAAGTTTAGTGCAGCCGGCTGGAGAAAAGTTGCGACAACGTCTCATATCTACAACGTCAAAAGTTGCTTGCCAAAGTCGGAGAAAAGCTGGACGCATACAGCATCCAAAGTTGCGTGCCACACAAGTTCGTGGTGCACGTGTTGTCGGCCCATTGAAGTGCAGCGACAAAGTAGCCATCGTTGTGCCAAAAAGTGGCATGTGCTCCCATGGCACAGTAAAGTGCAGCATGGTGTCGGCACATCAAAGTGCAGCGACCAGCAAAGTTGCTAAAGCAAAGAAAAGGCCCAACCCCAAAAGGGGCGAAACGTGGCTTCAAAGCCGCGCTGGTCGAGTCAAAGTCGACGGCGTTGCACCCGAAAGTGGGACCCAGCCTTCTGGTTGATCATACGACAGTTCATAAACCAGCGGCAGAACGGGCAAGTGCATCAACCGAAAGTGGCGGCACTGCGGATCGGCAAAGTATCGGTTCAAGTCCGACACAAGTTGGTACGGCAGCTGAAAGTGCCGAATCAACAGAAAAGTTTGCCACGATGGATCCATCAGCACCTCCAAAGTTGCCGTCCTTATCAGAAAGTCGACATAACGTCGATTCCACATCCTGGCACGTCCAGAGCCAAAGTAAAGTGCCCGCCACTGCTGAGTGGGTCTAAAGCCCAAAGTGCAGATCTCAGCATCTGCGGCAAAGTGGTAAAGTACACCCTTCTGCTGCATGATGCTGAGCTGAAAAGTGTAGAAAAGGTACGCAGACCGAGGCGAAAGTGATAAGTTGAGACACCCATCCAAAGTACCAGCAACATCGTCGTGACGAACTGTATAAAGTAGCTCGTCCGCTGTGCGTTGGTCATCGCACCATGAAAAGTACGCAGCGGTAAAGTCAGATACAGCATGAAAGGTGCCCACGATGCAGGATCTCCTTGCAAAGTGGTGCCTGGCTGGATCTGATAAACCCAACAAAGTTCGCTGCGGGCCACCGTAAACAGTTCTGGCAAAGTCCAGGATTGATTCACAGGAGCCCGGCCTGGGAACAAAGTGCTCATAGCCAGCGCCATGTTGCGTGGGAAAGTTGTCCCCGGCCGCCAAAGTTGTTCGGTCTGTCTGCCAGAGAAAAGTACCTCCAGCATCATCTGCAAAGTTGCCCAGTACCCGAACGTAGTGAAGTCGGGCATGTTTGTGGCAGCTCCGAAGCCATGCCAAGGCCTCGGAAAGTCAGTGCCCGGAGGCTGTGGCCGTAAAGGCACCGACTTAGGCGCCATGGCGACGGCTCCAAAGTCGAAAGAAATTGCGGTTCCAGTTTTGCACCGCTCGCAGGATAAAGTACTCAAACTGCAACACCAAAGTTGCTGCTGACACTGTTCCCAAAAGTGCTTTGAGGATCCAACGGCAAACTGTGAGAAAAGCTCTCCACTCTGCCGCAAAGTCCGGCCGTGGGGGCCGCTCGAGCTCTACACCAGCTCGCTCAAAGTCACTCCGAAACAAAAGTGGCTCAATGTCCACCCGGACTCGCTCACGGGTAGGCGGTCCACCTGACTCAAGTGGAAAGTGTGAGCCACGCAGTGTGGATCACGCGCTGCTCGCCGAAAAAATAGGCCAAGCAACGCTGGAAAGTCGAGGCTCAACCGGCTCGGGTTCCTCCGGAGAAGGCTCTGCCTCTTCCAAAGTAGGCTCTTCTTCGGCCATCGCCGAAAGTTCTCCCAGGCAGGTTGCAGTCGCAACGTAAAGTCACAGCAGCCATTGCACGACAAAGCGAGCGAACGACCAAAGTTGATGTGAAAACGTTGCGGCAACAGGCGCAAAGTTAAAAACAAACCCACGACAAAACCGAACACCCTGAACGGGAAGTCAAGCGAGCTTATACATATGTACATTAAAGACAAAGTGGTGCTTTGCACCGGAAAATCATCATCGGAAAAGTCATTCACCGCATCCGGAAAATTGTTTCACGGTAACAGTTTCATCATTTCGGTTCGGGAAAACTGGAAAACGGAACACCAAAGTGAACAATTCTTAAAGTTCTTGTTCAGGAGAAAGGGAAAAGTTTCGACGAGCGAAGGCCGAAGACATGTCGAACTGCACAAGCACAAGTGACATGACAAGTGTACATGAAAAG